ATCATTTCCAAGATACAGCGGTTTAATGCTTAATCCAACAACACTCGAAAAAGAATCTTACACCGAAGTGTTTAATATGGTGAATATATAACTGAATATATTAAGAAATGGACAAGGTCCGACAATTTATTTATTAAAGACATTTTTATGTTTAACGTTGTTATTTATAGATACAAGTATTTAAGCAAATGCTCTGTTTATGATAAACAGTATTAAATAACATTTACCGGCCTGAATGTCGAGAAATTTTCATAGAAAATATTCGTTCTTTGACAGATTCGGACCTGCATCCTATACGGAACCGTCATTTACGCTGACGTGCCTTACCTCTGGGCCACAAAGAACCTTTCGGCATAAGCAGTAAATTCGACCTTGTCTACCGAAAGGTTCTTTGTGGCCCAGAGGTTAGGCACGTCAGCGTAAAATGACGGTTCCGGATAGGATGAAGGTTCGAATCCTGTCAAAGAACGAATATTTTCTATGAAAATTTCTCGGACATTCAGGCCGGTAAATGTTATTTAATACTGTTTATCATAAACAGAGCATTTGCTTAAATACTTGTATCTATAAATAACAACGTTAAACATAAAAATGTCTTTAATAAATATAACTGAATATAATGTAACAGTATTTTTTTTACTGAAGAAGAAAATTTGATAAAGAAAAAATGAACTTATTTACAACTCAACCAGGTGGGGAGGGGTTCTCTTATTTGAATCAGCTTGATTTCTGGTATACCATTATTCCGCTTTTAGAAAAGTCTTTTAATGAAAAAGAATCCCCTCGAAGATTGCAAAATGGTATCTGAAGCGAGTCGCTATTTAAAAAGAAAATAGTGGGCGGATGGAATCAGGAATTTGGCCTGAAAGACAGCAGAAGATAGAGGAACTAAATGGTTAATATATTCTGCAATGTCGAAAATATTTTATTTATGCTTAGTAAAAGGAAGGAACTGTTTTTATTTCTAAAATATTGTTTAGAATTTTTAATCTTTTCCCGTCGACTGAGTCAGTAGAGTAGAAAAGTCTAACATTTTAAAGAAATAAATTGTTAATCCAAAATAAGTTTAATTCTACAGGATAGCTTCTCTCTTATGATTGGTCGAATCAACCTATTCTATATCATCATTTCTTATACTAGATGTGTTATAATTGATCCATACACCGATGTATTTGAAGTGTTTAGTCTGGTGAACTAGTCTGACGAGATTTTTTTCTCCCGTGCTCCGACTATATGAATTTAAACGTGCTACGACAATAACATCTAGGTTCCACCATTTACTGTTGAAACAGCTAAATCCAACCGCCACTTCGACTCCAGCAATTTTTCTCGCATTTCTCATCTGTGGAACTCCCTTCCGTTTCTCTGATAACTAAAAACTTCAAATGCAACGTCAATCGCCATCTTCTTGAATCCCGTTCATATTTTGTCCTCTTCCCAATCATCCATATACTCAGACTTTTCTCTCACCCCTGCGAACACACACACACACACATATATATATATATATATATATATATATATATATATATATATATAGTCATCTACAGATAGACTGCTTCGCAGCTCATCAGTATGGCTAGACATCCGATTGCCTCAAGCCGGGATCGAAACGCGACTGATTTGGAATCATTCGGAGATTTTACCCCTAAGCCATTGGCGCGGCAGGGATGGAAGTAAATTTAGACGTATTTATGTTTAGAGAAACACGCCTGTGACCGGAGAACTCGATTCGTCTAAACGAAGAGTCTTGCGTCAGCAGCAGTAATAGTCACTGTTTACAAGCAGCAGTAATAGTCACTGTTTACAAATTCATTTTTCTTCCCGAAGACCTCAAACGAAATACTTTTTGCTCTTTTCTTCTCGGTGATGCTGAAATATGCATTTGCAGACACAGAGAGTGGCGTCAAGTTTCAGTTTCGAACAACTGGTGGTCTCTTCAATCATCAGCGCTTCAAAGCCGACCCACTTTCGTACGCATATTATTCGTGATTTGTTGCTTGCTGATGATGCGGCTCTTGTAGCGACATCCTTTGAGGAGGCCCAACATCTAATAAATCATTTCTCTGCTGCATGTAAAGCATTTGATCTTACACTTAGCATAAAGAAAACTGAAGTTGGTCACCAACCTTGTCCTACTCCGAAGCAATTGCGTGGTGAAAAACAAACCACCAGTCTACAAATTTCCAGAGAGACCATTGAAAGTAGAAGACAAAGCCCTGAACTATGTAAAGTCTTTCACCTATCTTGGCAGCAAAGTCAATTACAGTGTAACTTTAGATGATGAAATCATGCATCGGATTGCTAAGGCTACCAGTGCTTTCGGCAAACTTCACCATCGCATGTGGAATGAGCGGGGTATTCGACTGGATAGGAAAATTCAGGTTTACAGAGCTGTTGTACTTACTATCCTTTTGTATGGCTCAGAGTCGTGGTCTCCATACAGGTACCATATACGGCAGCTAGATGTTTTCCATAAAAGCTGTCTGCGTGCAATCTG